CAGTAGCTCTCGGGCACAGCCAAGGGGTCACTTCCTGCCAGGGTTTCCCTACTCTCCACACGGAGGGTCCAGTCACCTCAGAACCTACCACTAGCCCTGCCACAGAAGAGGAAGAAGGTCTCCTATAGAATCTGCAACCACAGACTCCGGGGATGTCTCCTGGGACAGAATCCAGTCCAGCTCGATGGTGCGTCCAGCGTGGTCTGAGACACGAGGTGCTGTGTTTTGTTGGTTGGCCTGGGTGTCCTCTGTCACCTCCACTAAGACTTCATCTCCACAAGCTTGGAGTTTTTGTTTCTTGTGTTCAGAACAGAGCCCAGTGTGGAGTAGATGCTCAATAAACATGTGCTAAATGAACCAGAGATGGAAGGAAGGAAGGAAGGAAGGAAGGAAGGAAGGAAGGAAGGAAGGAAGGAAGGAAGGGAGGGAGGGAGGGAGGGAGGAAGGAAGGAAGGAAGGAAGGAAGGAAGGAAGGAAGGAAGGAAGGAAGGAAGGAGAGAACACGATACAGAAAGCAGCCTTGTGCTTTCTGAACATGCTTTACTGTCCCTGGACTCCTTCCATTCTTTCCTTCACCAACAAATGTACCTAAATCAATTTGTATTTTTTTTATTATTATTTGTTTTCTGTGGGCACCCAGTAGGTCACATAACTATGATGTTTGAGGTTTCAAAGAAAAAAATGAAAGTCCATGTTGACAATAGTTTAAGACTGCAAGACAAGGCAAGAAATGCCTTCGCAAGGCATCTAACACCCATGAAATGGAAGAGAAGCTTCATGTAATGACCTGCTGTAAGATGGCCATGACTTTGCATGACTCTACATGGAAGGAGTTGGCCAACCCAAGGCTCAAGCTTGAGGGTGAGTAGGAAGTGTCTGGCATCTTTTTTCTCCATGTTCTGGGCTCTGCAAACCAAGACTGCATCTGTAGAATGCCCTGCAACTATAGGCGGCCTGATTTTTACACAGTCATGAAACACAAGCACGTGAGAAGCAAGATTCCCTTCTAGCCCGTCCCAAATGTGGCTTCTACAATCTTCTCAAAATGAGGGAAGTAGTGCTGCCCCCTTACCACTTCACAGCTGCTTAAGAACTTAGGAGTTTTCTAGATGCAAGCTGCGGTTGTCTGAGGGTTGTAAGATTATGGGGAATTTTTTCTCTTCTTATTTTTCTATATTCTAGATTCACGATAATGAGCAAATACTGTTTTTTGGGCCAGGATGAAGACAGCAATAAAGGCTTGCATGTGTTTTTGTTCTGTTGTAAGTTAGCCCACATAGTAGGGCCAACCAAGGCAAAAGTTGCTGTTGTCTAGAACAGAAGTCAGGCTGGAAGCAAAATGCATGTGCTTTTTAACTGCCTTTCTCTTGCCTTTGATACTAGTATACCTGTGGACATTAAGGAACCTGGTTTGTATTTTGGAGGCTGGAAAGCTGATTTTAGAATATGAGTAGGATTTTTTACTACACATGGGTAGACTGACTTCCCACGGTCACAACATGCTCTATCTTAATTTCCTGGACTCATCCTTTTGCCCTAGACCTATAATTTTGTATCTAATATTTTGTACCATGTATTCTTTTTTTATTTATGAATCTTTACAATAAAAAACATGTATATGGAACAAACAGCCATACAATATATTTGTTATTCTAAGCTGCCTTAGAATTCTAGAGAATGAGGTACAGAATTAATCTTTTTTATTATTATCGAGAAGTAGGATTCAGCTGATGTTTCATAGGCATTGCCCCAAGCTAAGCCAGTGTGTTGACCCAGGTGTTGGCATTATTACATCACATGCCAGCTTCTTCTGGAAGTCTCAACTTTGGCATGAGTCTTTTCAAGGGGAATGTGTACCCAGAAAGAATTGTGTGTGGAGAGGAAGGAATTAAATGAAGAAGGCTGCTGTTGCTGGTAATACTTCCTCTTTACTACTGTGAGACAATGGAAAATAGATGTCCATCTCTGCCCCTGGCTCCTGGCATACAGTTTCTGAAGCCCTTGTCATTTCCTGGGTGATGGGAGTGTCTTTTGTTCTAATGAGGTGATGCTGAGTGGGTTCCTGGATGGCTCCTGGATGAGAGCTGGTCACTGGAAAGAACAAGCTGTGATTAGAAGCTTGGAAGTTTCTCGTAAGAAAGGTGAAGGGCTGGGCAGCCCGGGTGGCCCAGCGGTTTAGCGTCGCCTTCGGCCCAGGGTGTGATCCTGGAGACCCAGAATCGAGTCTCACGTCAGGCTCCCTGCATGGAGCCTGCTTCTCCCTCTGCCTGTGTCTCTGCCTCTCTCTCTGTGTGTCTCTCATGAATAAATAAATAAAATCTTAAAAAAAAAAAAAGGCTAAGGGCTGAAAATAAAGTTAATGATTGATCATGCCTACATGACGAGGCCTCCATAAAACATGGAAGGACCTTGAGGGCATTATGCCAAGGGAAATAAGTCAGAGAAAGATGAATACCATATGATCTCACTTATATGTGGGATCTAAAAAAAGAAAACTAAACTCGTAGATACAGAGAACAGATTGGTGGTTGCCAGATGTGGGGGTGAGAGGCAAAATGGGTGAAGATGGTCAAAAGGCACAAACTACCAGCTTTAAAATAAATAAGTCTTTTTAAAAAAATATTTTTATTTATTTATTCATGAGAGACACAAACATAGAGAGAGGCAGAGACACAGGCAGAGGGAGAAGCAGGCTCCATGCAGGGAGCCCAACATGGGACTTGATCCATGGGATCACGCCCTGGGCCAAAGGTGGCACTAAACCACTGAGCCACCCGGGCTGCCCTAAAATAAAGAAGTCTTAAGGATGCAATGCACAGCATGGTGACAATGGTTAACAGTACTGTACATTTGAAAGTTGCTGAGAGAGTGGATCTTAGAAGTTCTCATCACAAGAAAAAAAAATTATAACTTTGCATGGTGACAGATGTTAACTGGATTTATTGTGGAGATCATTTCTCATTTTTTTAAAGGATTTTATTTACTTATTTGAGAGAGAGAGCAGAACATGGAGGGGCAGAAGGAGAGGGAGAAGCAGACTCCCTAGGGAGCCTGGGACCCTGGGATCGTGAAATGAACCAAAGGTAGATGTTTAATTGACTGAGCCACCCAGACGCTGCGATCAATTCTCGTTTATATACAGACATTGAATCATCATGTTGTACACCTGAAACCAATATAATGTTACATGTCAAATATATCTCAATTTTAAAAAAGAAAAAAAAGGAAGTCACAAAGACAGAGATTGGAGAGAGAAAAAGAGAGAACTTCAAAACCTCTGTTTCAAAACCTCTGTTTGAATCTTTTTTTCCCAAACATGTGTTTTCATTTCATTATTGTTATTCTTTGTGTTTGTAAAACATGTATTTGAGCCTCTTATCAAATGTATACTCTAGGAGAATAATGGTTTTCCTCTGTGTGTGTGTGTGTGTGTGTGTGTGTGTGTGTTTGTGTGTTTTGAGGGGGTGTTGTAATTCATATGTCGAATCCCTAACCTCTGTCGTGATAGTGTTTGGAAATGGAGTCTTTGGGAGGTAATTAGGTTAGTTGAGGTCATAAAGATGGGCCTTTATGATAGGATTGGCGGCCTTCCTGAAAGCCAACCACATCAGCACCCTGACCTTGGGCTTCTAGCCCCAAATAAAGTAAACTTTATTTTGTGAGAAAATATTTCTGCTGTTTACACCATACAGTGTATGGTATTTTGTTATGGCACCCTGAGCTAAGACACGGGGTCCTGATCTCTGGCTACATCAAGGTGTAAAACAGAGCTCATAAAACAAAGGTTTTAGAAACTGAAGTGAAGAGTCACAGGGCTTCCATCTGGTGGATGCTCCTCTCATTTCAGGGAGATTGTTTAGGAAACAGCAATAGTCACGTTTCGAAAAGTCTGTGTTTGGATTACAGCAACCTAATCCCCTGAGTGAATGAAATCCCGGGTAGTGAAGTTCCTGTTTTACATCACTGACCCGTCACCAGTTGACATTTCTGGTGGTGGAGCCATGCTGCCATACTGCAAGGTACAATTCCAGTCACAAGTCAAGAAACTGGATGCTCTAACTCACTTGAGAAGCCTTCCTGGAGGCAGATGGATGATGTCTCCAGGGCTTTGTGAAGATTCACATTTAGGTTTTGAAAGCAAGGGGAATAATAACGAACGAGGTAAGAAGTATATCTGAAAGGATAGTCGAACAGATGTGTCTGCATGGGAAAAGAGAATAAATGTGTTTAGGTTTTAGGATATGTAGCATAAAATTATCTTGATCATATGGTTTCCCTCATGAAAAATTGAAGAATTGGGGTCTGAGGGTAACTCCTGGTGGTTCTTGCAGGTGAACGCTTCCATGGCTTCTGACCCAGAGAAGGGGTATAGTGGAAGAAAGCTCGGCTCAGGCCAAGTGGCTGTAAGGGAGGCTGGGAATTGGCATCTCTCTGGAAGGGGGAGTATTCATAAGGCTGAATATCACCCAGATATGCCAAGGGTGTTCAAAAGGTACAGTCAGAAAACGAGATAAGCATACGGTGGTTATGAGGATGGAGGGAGGACATAGGGTAGGGTCTCAATAAACAGTGACTATTCTTATCGGAAGGTGTGGGCAATGCTCCCAGTTTGCTGCTGGTGACTCATCAGATGCCCCATCCAACACCTCCTGGCTACACTCAGCTTATTTATAGCAGCCACCTCCCAGCCTGAGCCTTTCCACCTCTTACGTGCAATCTGCCAGGTTTTGCCCAGAAGTCTAGAGGACCCAAATGACAAAGTTAAACACAGAAGGATAATGATACAATCTTAATCTTTCCTGGAAATGGATCAGTTTGAGCTTCTCTAAATTACAAAACTGGAGAGGCCTCATTACACAAATTGTGCCCAGAGAACCTATGAAGAAATCTGAGCCCCACCCCTTCCAGTTCATGTTGGCAGCTTCCTGAAGCCCTGGGCACTTACCCTGGAGTTGTCGAGGCTTTTCCAGGAGACTCGCCAGGATCAGGAATATTAAAGCGTCAGCATGCACCTAATTATAGGCATCCCAAATGTAGTGATCCGAAGGGGCATGTGCAGCCCAGTGTTTATGGAAGCAATGTCCACGATAATCAACCTATGGAAAGAGCCCAGATGTCCATCAACAGATGCATGGATAAAGAAGATGTGAGATATATATATATATGATATATATATATGAATACTACTCAGCCATCAAAAAACCTGCAACATCTTGCCATTTGCAATGATGTGGATGGAACTAGAAGATATTATGCTAAGCAAAATAAGTCAATCAGAGAAAGACAATTATCATATTATCTCATTCATATGTGGAATTTAAGAAACAAAACAGAGGATCATAGGGGAAGGGAGGGAAAAACAAAACAAGATGAAATCAGAGACAGAGACAAACCATAAGAGACCCTTGTGTTTGTTTGTTTTTAAAGATTTTATTTACTTATTCATGAGAGATACAGAAAGGCAAAGACGTAGACAGAGGGAGAAGCAGGCTCCCCGTGGGAAGCCCAATGTGGGACTCGATCCCCAGACCCCGGGATCATGACCTGAGCCAAAGGCAGACGCTCAACCACTGAATCACCAAGGCATCCCTCTTTTTAATTTTTTAAGATTTTATTTATTGATTTGAAACAGAGAGACAGAGAACATGAGCAGCGGGGGAGAGGTAGAGGGAGAGGGAGATGCAGACTCCTGGTGAGCAGGGAACCCGACATGGGGCTCCATCCCAGGACTCTGAGATCATGACCTGAGCTGAAGGCAGACGCTTAACCAACTGAGCCACCCAGATGCCCTAAACCATAAGAGACTCTTAATCATAGGAAACGACTGAGGGTTGCTGGAGGAGGGGTGGATAGGGGTATGGGGTAACTGAGTGATAGGCATTAAGGACACGTGGTGTAATGAGTGCTGGGTGTTGTAAGCAACTGATAAATTACTGAACTCTACCTCTGAAACTAATAATACACTATATGTTGATTAATTACATTTAAATAATCAATACATATAGACATATCTTCACTTTTCAAAAAGGTTAAAAGGACCCATAAAATGTCCTCCTCTCTCTGCCTAGTCTCTCCTCTGTGCCAAATTTCTAGATACTACCCATCCCCCTGTTTCACAGAGGAATAGAATGCATAATGTCGTACTTTGTGATACTCTTGTAGGGATCCTTCCTTGAAGGAGGTAAAAGAGAAAGAGAGTGTATATTTTTGTAATGAGGTTTTTTGGGGCCCCACGGGAAGGGGGGGACCGGAAATGCAAATCTGCAGGAAGATGCAAGGGGGCCCTACAACAGACATGATGAGAAGACAGGCCCCAGGCTCCAGTGAATTTGTCCTTTTTGTTGTATGCCAATCCCTGGGCTCTTGCTGTTGGCTTTTCTCAGGATGGAGGACTCCAAGTGACAAATCAAGGCTCCACTTAGCATTGCTCAGGGCCTATTCTGGGCTCAGAGCTCTTGCTACTCTGTTTGAATCTATGGAGGCCACTCACCCACCTGCACTTTGGAGGTAACCGTCTCAGTCAAGGCTGATTCCAGGAGGTGGTCAAGGAGGGCAACGAACTTCTCAGGGAGTGAAAGCTCCAGCCAGAGACTGAGCTTTAGAATTTAGGGTGTGGGTGGGGGAGGAGGTGAGAAGTGAAGGAAGTGGGGCAGATACCATCAGAAGAGGAGTGCGCAGGGACCCTCAGGAAGTTCATCATCAGAGGTGCGCTGATGGACTAGTGGGTCTTGTCAAGGAGTCACAGAAAGTATGATCCATCAGGTAGAGGCAGGCCTAGTGATGAGGAGACTGACATGGCAGGGTGAGAAGTTTGGCGTGAGGTGCAAGGTGCTTTAGAGCCAAGAGCCCACCCCACCACTCGTTGGCTGTGCAATTTGGGGGTATGATCAGTCATGTTTGGGTCAGAGAAGCAGAACCACCGGGTGGGGGGTGTGTGTGTGTGATAGGAGTTGGACCCTGGGTGATTGCAGGAGTTGGCTACCCCGTCTGTATGGGACGATTTTTCCTGTATCTGAGGCTGGATCCCGCAGCTCTCAGGGCAGGCAGTGGGGAAGAGAAGGTTGAAGATCGCAAGGACAAGCAGGAAGCTAAGGCTGAGCTGGAACCACTGTTGGTTTCTCACCATCTCCAACCTCCAACACGGATGACAGCACAAGGGTCCTGAGGCAAAGCTGACGCCCTTTGTCATGGAGCTAACGCACTCCTGGCCCAGGAGACAGGGAGGTTGGTTGTACAGAGGATTCAGCAGGAGCTGGAGGGGCCTGGTCCTCGCTGTCCAGGATGCCAGCAAATAAGCCACAGTGCTAGAATGGCAACAATGTCCCGTGCCCTGCCCCAGCCTCCTGAGAGTGAAGGAATATGGCTTCACTTCTAAATCTTGCACAAAAACATCCTTCCCTGCCCATGCTAACTCGAAACTCCTCATCTGTGAATTGGGAGTCATAATCCCCCTACCTGAGAGGACTGAGTGATATAACACATGGAAAACCTCCCCCGGCCAACAACCAATATTGGCTTCTTTCTGCCATCCCTCCTGAGGGAGATGAGGGGAGCACCTCCAGATTACTAGTGTAAGGAAAAGATTTCAGGAAGATTAACTGGTTAGAAGATAGCAAATTAATGGAAAGGGAAGGAGGAATTTGGGTTTGGTAAGGCTGAAGTTTATTTATTTATTTTTTTTAATTCAGAGAGAGAGAGAGAGAGGCAGAGACACAGGCAGAGGGAGAAGCAGGCTCCATGCAGGGAGCCCAATGTGGGACTCGATCCTGGGTCTCCAGGATCACACCCTGGGCTGCAGGCGCCGCTAAACCACTGCGCCACCGGGGCTGCCCCAAGATTATTAATTTTTATATAATTTATATTTATATATCTATATGCTATTTATATAATCATCTCTATATTAATATATTATTTACATCAATTATTGTTAATCATGTAATTTTTTTTAAGATTTCATTTATTTATTCATGAGAGAGACAGAGACATAGGCAGAGGGAGAAGTAGGCTCCCTGCAAGGAGCCCGATGGGGAACTTGATCCCAGGATCCTGGGATAGTGCCCTGAGCCAGAGGCAGACACTCAACCACTGAGCCACCCAGGTGTCCTATAATTATATGATACTATTAAATAATACACAACTGGGGCACCTGGGTGGCTCAGTTGGTTAAGCACCTGCCTTCAACTCAGGTCATGACCTTGGGGTCCTGGGATGGAGCCCTGCTTCTGGCTCCCTGCTCAGCAAGGAGTCTGCTTCTCTCTCCCTCCGTCCCTCCCCCTCCCCGTGTGGGCATGCACTCTCCCTCTCTCCCAAATAAATAAGTAAAAAAAGTCTAAAAATAATAATAATACACAGCTAAGAATATATAATTAGGTACAAAATCATTTATTCACAATGAGAAAATAAATCACAAGTTATCAATTTTTTAAAGCTTCCAAATACCACTAACATTGCAAAATGCAGAAAAATAAAATACCTGTATTAATTGTCTGACTCTGGAATACGTATATCTTTGTGTCATCTTCGTCTCTACAAATGACGACCTTCTGAAACATGCTCTGTATACAGAATAGAAAGTCGATTCAGTCTTTTCTCTAGAATGATGTATCAAAGTGTTCATTACTGATACTTTAGAAGGGTTCCTTTTGACTTGACCATTTGTTGGTGATACACAGTATTAAGACACTTCTCAAGAAATGCCACAGCCACCCCCCCCCCAGCACCACCCTCCATGAGAAGTGAGTTAAAAGAGAAGTCAGAGAGGGAAGAGACAGAGGTCCTAACAACTGTGGTTAGAATCTCTTACTTTGCAGATTTTGGAGAAGCATATGACAATGCGAACTCTGTGCCAGCAGCCCCTTGGAGGTTGGGCAAGGGTGTGTGTGTGTGTGGGGGGGGGGTGGCTGGGAGGTTAAGCTTTGGTAGTTTCACAGTAAATCTGCCTCCAAAAGGGAGAAGCTGCAGAAGGGAACCCACGTCGGTGTTTTATGCAATAACCAAGGAGTTGCATGATGCCAGGCGGCTATACATGGGACCAGACAAAGGGTAGTGGATGCTTAGACATCTTTCCCAAGAAATGCAACAGGATTGGATTCTTGTTCTCTTTAGGTGTAGGATCTCTGTGGAAGTCAGAGTCATCTAGCGATGACCTCAAAAGTAAGTCTTCCAGCCAGGAGGAACGTGGAAAGGAGAATTGGCCTTTCCATGGTGATCAAGCATTCTTGGCATTTACTTGCTTTGGGGGTATTGTGTGCTTAAAATAACAACAGAATGCCAGGCTCAACAGCACTGGATATGTTCCTTTTGGTATCTTGTCACGGACTTCTGTAAGGAAAAAGTAAACCCTCCACATTTTAGCAGGGAAGAGCTCTGGAATGAGATTCTCCAGCTGGGGAGAAACAAGTATTCTGTGGAGTTTTACTGCCTTCCCCGCACCCCCATCGAAAACCATTGTCCTTTCCTCTGAAAACCCTACATCAGCGCTCTCTGGCATGGGCTGAGATGGATGCTCGGCTGTCCTTTCCTTTAACATGATTTTTTTTTCTTGACTATGAAAGTAAAATATGCCCTTTGAGGGGAAAAACGTTTAAAAAAAGAAAACTGTTACCATTCATAATCCCATTACCTACTTTATGTGAGTATGGTGGTATGTTTCCTCCAATCATTCTCAATGTGCGAGGACTCTGGCTTACATACTGCTTTTTGCACTTAGAATATAAACATATCTCTGTGTCTCAAAAAACCCACTCAAAGCATCATTCAGATAACCGCTAGATATTTTATCACCTATTTTTTTTTTACAATAGTGACCAATTTCAAGAGTTCTACCAAAAAAAAAAAAAAAAGCAAGATGTTGGGGGCGCCTGGGGAGCTCAGTCTCTACAGCTAGAGACTCTTGATCTCTGTGTTTTAAGTTCTAGCACCACGTTAGGTAGAGATTACTTAAAAATTAAAAAATAAATAAATAAATAAATCTTTTAAGGGGCACCTGAGTGGCTCAGTGGTTGAGCGTCTGCCTTTGGCTCAGGGCGTGATGCCAGGGTCCCAACGTCCTGGGATCGAGTCCCACATCGGGCTTCCCACAGGGAGCCTGCTTCTCCCTCTGCCTATGTCTCTGTCTCTCTTTCTATGTCTCTCATGAATAAATAAAACCTTAAAAAAATCTTTTAAGTAAATGAAATAAAATGTAAGAAGTCCAAAAGTAAAGCCCTATGTTGCCAAATACTTTGTTGGCAAGTAGCCCAGCAGACTCCTAAGTGGGCCTTGATTACTCTGTTTTTTAATTTTTTTTTAAGATTATTTATTTATTTATTCATGAGAGATGTAGAGAGACAGAGGCAGAGGGAGAAGCAGGCTCCTTGTCAGGAGCCCAATGCACAGGACCCCTGGGACCACGACCAACCAACAGGGGCCAAAGGCAGACACTCAACCACTGAGCAACCCAGGTACCCAACGTTCTTCAATTCTTGAGGTCCTCCATTCATTTCCTTCTTTGCGCCTTTCCTCCCCTGCTCAGCTGGGTTTATGGCCCATCTTGGGGGAACCTAGAAGACCCAGATCCTTGCAGCTGGTATTAAACTGGAGCTTGGCCCAGGCTGGGAGAGTAGGCCTCGGCCCAGCCCCACGGCCCCTCACTCCACCGCACTCCCCCAGCTCCTGAGGTCACTTCCTCATTCACTTCGAAGCCCAGACCAGGGCCAAACCCACAGGCCACCCTGAAATGTGGGACGTTTCTCTCTTTTCCCTCCGCCTTGCTCTGTGCCCCCCCTTCCCCAGAGCCCCACACCTGCCTTCACCTGGGCCGTTTCTAACCACTGCACCCTTAACCCTGTTTCCAAAAAGGGGTTAAAAGCTTAGTGTGCGTTTGAGAGGCTACGAAAGCAAAGTTTAAGCCAAGGGAGGACCCGTGTGACCCCCACGCATCTGGGAGCAGCAGGGGAAGGGGGGATGATGGGCTGCGGGTGGGGGAGGGCGCGGAGGCGAGGCTCGGCACGAGGCCCACCGCGAGCCTTGAGGTTGGGGGTTGGGGGTGGGGGAGGGGGCTCTTCCCAGAGGGGCCCAAGCCCCGGGCGGTGGGGTCTGCGGGGGTCCCGGTCTGCCCCCGGGGCTGTGCCGGGCCTGGGCGGCCCGCTCCGCGCTCGCTCGGGGAGGCCCGGGGCCTGGGCCGCGGGGAGAGTCGGGCGCCCACCGCGCGGGTCGGGCCGCCAGGAAAGTCCCGCGGCCGGCGGGGCTGGGCGGGGCCGCCGGGAGGGGCCGGGAGGGGCGCGGCGGCCGAGCCAGGCCGTCCCGCCGCCGCCGCCGCCGCCGCCGCCGCCGCCCGGGAAGGGGCGGGCCCCGCGCGCCCTGCGCTCGCCCTGCGCTCGCCATGGCCGCCGGGGCGGCGACGTGAGCCGCTCGGGGGACCCCGCGCCGGGGCCGGGCCGCTCCCAGAGCCGCGGCCGAGCCGGCGGCGCCGCAGCCCCGGGCCATGCGGCCGCCGCCGCCGCCGCTGCTGCTGCTGTTGTTGCTGCTCGGCGGCCGCGGCGCCGCGGCGTCCCCAGCAGGTGAGCCGGGCCTGCCCAGCCCCGACCCGACCCCACCCCAGCCCGGGGCCGCCCGGGGGCTCGTCGCAGCCGGTGGCCGCCCGAGGGGGGCGCGGGGAGGGGGCCCGCGGGGGCGGCTCTCGGGCAGCGCAGGTCGGGGTTGGGTTCCCGGGGGCGCCCGCAGCGGGCGAGGGGCCCACGGGGAGCCCGGATCGGTGGTGGGGATGCGGGGAGCCCGCCGCGGGTGTGGGGTGCGCGGTGTGGGCTGGACGGCGGGGAATTCCGGGCAGTGCCTGGGCGAGGAGCCCCCCCCACTCCCGGCCCCGGCGTCCTGGCCCCGGGTCAGCAGCCCTCCCGGGCCGGGGGCGCTCCCGCTGCCCCTGCGTGACTCGGGGCACCCTGCTTGTTGCTCGGCGGCTCTCGCCCGCGAGCCGGTGCGGCCGACGGCTCCGCAGGTCTCCGCGAGAAGCGAGGAAAGCCGGAGGCAGGCCTGGGGGAGGGGCGCCTCTGCCGGCCTCGGGCTCGCCGGCCCGGCCTGGCTGCCCGCGGCCCCTGCCTGGCCTGGCGCGCCCTCGGCGGTGGCCCGAGGTAGGCGCGGGGGGGCCCCAGGCTGCCTTCCTTGCAGCTGCGACAGGGGTGCGATTGATAGGGAGTGTGGGAGTCCTGATGGGGTCGGACGGATGGGAGGCAGCGCTCGGGGCAGGACCCAGAAATGCCCCGACCCCCGGTGGTGTTGGCGGCCCAGAGTCATCAGAACCAGACTTTTGACCCCAGCTCAGCTCCCATCCAGATTGCCCCTTCCCTGGGTCAGCCTCCTCCTTACCCCCGACCACCAACTGCCCATACTTCTAAGCCAAATGTAAAAAGTTTAAGAGGACCTCAGCGAGGAAGGTGTGCGCAGGTTATCCTCTGTGTAGGCATGTGTGTTATTGGTTTGCTGCGTTCTTGCCCAGGGAGAGAGACTGTCATCGGTTGCGTAGCACTTAAATCGTGTCACGAATTTAGATGTTTTGCTCAGGGTGTGGTTTAGGTTTGTTTCTTCTGCCAGCATCACTTAGAAAGGCTCTTAGATTCCAAATCTCCTGATGAGGGGAGCACACAGGAGGGTTTGTGCTCCTGGCCAAAGGGCTATTTTCCTTTGAGACAGATGGATTTGAATCCTGACTTCACCACCCACCCACCCCCACACCCCCCCCCCCTTCAAGTCTTGGGCAATCTCTGTTCTGCCCTCCCTGGGTCTCCTTCACTTGCAATCCGGGGTTTGGCAAAATGTTGGTAACTGCCTGAGCTGCTGGGTGATGGGCTTGGTGGTGGTTCCTTTATACTGGTGCTACTCTTCACTAGTGGTGGTCTGTGCAGCATTTGTGACTTGTCTGCCGAGAGTCTGAGGTGGAGAGAAGTATTTAGAAACTGCAATTTGACATTGCCCCAACACCGAAGGCCCTGTGTGTCTTTCTAGTAATTATCTTATAGTTTGGGTCTGTGTGATGCATCAGAAATAAACTGGTCCAGGGGTGCCTGGATGGCTCAGCTGGTTAAGCATCAGACTCTTGATTTCAGTTCAGGTCATGAGATCAAGCCCCATGTCAGCTCCAGTGGGCCTGGAGCCAGCTTAAGTTTCTTCTCTCTCTACCTCTATCTCTCCTTCCTCTAAAAAAGAAAAGAAAAGAAAAGAAAAAAAGAAAAGAAAAGAAAAGAAAGAGAAAGAAAGAAGAAAGAAAAGAAAGAAAGAAAGAAAGAAAGAAAGAAAGAAAGAAAGAGCTGCTCCTCCGTCATAGATCCTTTGAAAAATAGCACCATGTTATGCTAATCTCTTGTGAATACTTAAGATTCTTTTATAATAAACCATTAAAAAACCAACTGGGATATTTTTAAGAGAAACTCTTAGTCCAAGCACAGAGTGGAACTATTAACAATGGTTATATAGTAAATGGGTAGTAGAAAAATTTCCATGCTTTCTCATAATTTTCAAGTATCCTTCAGTAATCAGGAGATTGGTTTTATGGTCAGAGGGAAAAATATGAATATCGAAAACAAATTTTTAAAAAAGAAAACTTATAGTATCTATGCCTTAGAGTTGTTATAAGGAGAACATATGTAAAATATTGGACCTGGTCTAAATTGTAGTGTACGGGAGGAAAACTTTTCCTTTTTGCCTTCTAAGTTCTGCCACTGGTCTAATAATTAAGTTGACAGGAGACAGAGTAATAGGAGAAAAACAGATTTAATTTTGTACCTACTGGAGCTTATAAAAATATGAGACTTGAAGAAGTAACCAAAATAGGCAGCTTTCCTGCCTGTTAGAGAAACAATGATTTGCGGAGATTTGACCAAACAAAGGGGTTTGAGTTGGGGTAGCAAATGAATGAAGAAGTAACAGAGGTTGTTTATAGAGCCTTGCCAGCCTTGAATTCCCTGTCTCTGAGTAAAGATGCTCTTTACCCTTCTGGTATAGGAAGGACACCTTCATAGGAGGAATTTATTTCTGGGGATAAAGGAAAGTCAGACTGTCCTTCTTGCACTGACTGTTTCTTAAGTAACTTTAATTCCAAATAATTAACATTTTAAAAAAATCAACCTGCCAAAGTGACATGTGGGGGGGGCATATTTTGCTCTAAAAAAAACTCTTTTTTAAAGAAGATTTATTTATTTATCTGGGAGAGAGAGTATGCAGGTGAGTGGGGGAAGGGAGAGGGAGAGAAAGAGTCTCAAGCAGACTCCCCTCTGAGGGAGGAGCCTGACACGGGGCTCAATCTTATGACCCTGAGATTGGGACTTGAGCTGAAATCAAGAGTCTGATGCTTAACTGACTGAGCCATCCAGGCACTCCTGTATTAAGTGACTCTTGTTTGTCAGAGAGGGTTTTATGTACCGTCTATGTCTTAATGTTTTTTGGCTTCTCCTCACCCATGAGGTGTGGGAGGTAAGATGTTCATTATAACGCCCCATCCATAGAAAGATCCTAAAGGGTCTTTGCATGTCAAGATTAAATGGTTGATTTTAATGTTAACTGTACTTTAAAAAATATTCTGTTTATTTATTCATGAAAGAGACAGAGAGAGAGAGAGGCAGAGACACAGGCAGAGGGAGAAGCAGGCTCCCTGCAGGGAGCCCAATGTGGGACTCAATCCCAGGACTCTCGGATCACGACCTGAGCCGAAGGCAGTAGCTCAACTGCTGAGCCACCCAGGCATCCCTGTACTTTATTTTATTATCTGTGTGTGATGTATGGGTTTTTTAAAAAAGATTTTATTTATGAGAGAGAGAGTGAGAGAACATGAGCTGGGGTGAGGGAGGAGAGGGGGAGGAGAGAGGTCAGGGTGATGCAGGGCTCAATCCAGGACCCTGAGATCATGACCTAAGCTGAAGGCAGATGCTTAACCAACTGAGCCCCCCAGGCATCCCTCTATGTGTAATGTATGTTAACCAAAGTATCCTTTTGAGACCCAAGAAAGCCTATTCTTAAATACGACTTAAGTCTTAAATGCCTGGATCCAGGGTAGATCAGAGGTGATGGGCAGGGACAGGAAGGTGGCATGAAGGTAGCCCAGGAGGACTGTAGTTGTGAGATGCAGAGAACACTCTTCATACAAACGATACCTGCGTTATCTCTTCTTACCATTAATGGTTTATGAGTTACTGTCCCATAGACCATGGAGGGGGAAGGGAGAGTGGAACTCTGTACATCCTACTATTGTTGTGAACTTTTATCTTCTGGAGCTGGGGTGTCATTAAAGCCCTGGTGTCCACCTCCAGGGACCATATGAGTTCCTGTTGTTCTAACAAATCACCACCAACTTAGTGCCTTAAAACAACCCCAATTTATTATCTTACAGCTCTGGAGGTCAGAAGTCAGGCTCTGGGCTAAAATCGAGGTGTCAGTAGGGATGCGCTCCTTTTTGGAGGTTCTAGGGGGAGAGTTGTTTCCTTGCCTTCTCCAGCTTCCAGAGAAACTCTGTTGTGATGACACTGGGTCTGCCCACATATTTCAGGAGAAGCTCTCTATTTTAAGGTCTTTTGATTAGGAACCTAAATTCCATCTACAACCTCAATTCCCCTTTACCATGGAACCTAATATATTCACAGGACACAAACATCCTTGGGGGCCCGCTCTTCTGCCTCCCTCAGGGTCAGACTGTTGGATACAGCGCTCAGCATGGGGCTAGGCACCCTGTTGCTGGTCCCTGAAGGCAGGGTCTGGGTGACTGGTTGCTACTTGCCATCTGCACAAGTAGCCATCCTGAGGAACCAGGTCACCCTGAAAGAGTCCCGTCTTAGAAATTTACTTAGACAGCAGTGTCTAGTTTGCTTTTCATTTGTGGTCTTGCATTTGTCCCTCACTATGCTCCAGGAGAGATGGCACTGCTCCATAATTAAGGAGGAAACAGAGCCTTAGCTGGGGTGTTGGCAGGATCTGTGGCTGTAGGTCATAGGATCAGGATTCGAGCCTCCACCCTTTATCCAAAAGTTCTGTTCTCTTCCCACTGAGCTTATATGGACCATTGACAGCAGGCGCTATGACCCTAAATATACTGACTCTTAGGAGCCAACCAATTAAGTCACAGCCCAGAGTGGTTCACCCACTCCCTGCAACAGCAGAGACCAGACAGATGGGAAGAGTTCAGCAGAAAGCCAGGAAGGAAGAAGGGAACCTAAGCTTTGCTTGATTTTTGAGTGGGTGAACGTGGTGCTGAGGACAAGAAATTGGTTATGTAATCTCTGGAGGAGAGCATGCTGCTGGGCTGCAGGCCAGTCCTTCCCCAGATCCTGAGTGCCTGCACTTCCCAGCAGGGGGGCTAAAACAGTCCCCAAATCCAACAACGCCCAGCCTTCCTGGAGCTCCTTGCTCTTGCACTTAGGGACACTGTTGATAAACTGCTAGCAATGAGGAGAGGCATGGATCACAAGGTGCTCACCCTGTCCTCAGCCCCGTGCAGAAAACCAGTTCATTCTCTCCACCTAACAACACTGTGGGGTCTGTACTGTACCCATTTTTCAGATGAGACAGCTGAGGCACAGAGAGGTTAAACAAATTGCCCAGGGTGCCGAGGAGTGTGCAGCTTGGAACTCAGGCAGTCTCGTTCTGGAATTCTAAGCACCGTGGTGTAGACAAAACTCAGGTGGTAAACAAGCATCATTTGGACAAGTCAGGCAGGGACAGGGACTCCCAAGCCCTGGGCCTTTTACACCAGAAACCAGAGCAGAGACCCAAAGGGAGTAGGGGAGAGAGCCATGGCATAGCTGGAAAGAAGGTTCCAGAGAAGGAGCGGAAGGGCAGGCCCTGGGTTTCCCAGGAACGAGGAGGGCCCCTTGGGGACGAGGCAGCTCAAGGACAAGCCTTCTGAGGGGTGCAGAGGGCAGTGTTCTGAGGCAATTGTTAACAAGTGGGCAGTCTTGGGTGTTTCATTGTGAAACCCTCCGTTTTAAGACTGGTTATCTCCTCTGAATGTGGTGAGGAGGGGATTCCAGGAAAGTCAGATGTCAGAGTGAGAGACCGTGGGTCACCTTCCACATCTTGGCAAAATGAAAGTTGAAGAAAGCAGAAGGCTCATCTGGAGACTCCATGTTTATGGGGAAGCCTTTCTTCTGGTCCAGCCGTCAGTTGGGGTAGAAGCCCTTCCCTCTTGTTCAGTCCTTTGGTGCTTCCTTTCTTAGCTGAATATCTGGATCACGGATACGGGAGTGCCAGAAGAGATGGCTCCCCACCCCCCCACCCCCACCCCCACCCCCACTCCCCCGCCAACTCAGAGATGGGGAGATAGTGAAAGGCACTGTGACAGGCAGAGTAATGGTCCCCAAACATGTCCACATCGTAAGCCCCAGAGCCCATGGCTGTGTGACCTTACAGCGCAGATGGGACTTTGCAGATGTGACCAGGGATCCTCAGATAGTGAGATGACCCTGGATAGTAGGGCTCCGTAGGCCCACTGTGATCACAGGGGTCCTTCAGAGATGGAAGAGGAGAGTCAGACCAGAGAGGTGGCAGCGTGAATAGGCATCAGCCTATCTCTTCAACAAGTGGTGGTGGGAAAACTGGACAGCCGCATGCAGAAGAATGAAACTCGACTACTTTCTTATACCGTACACAAAAATAAGTTCAAAATGGATGAAAGACCTAAATGTGAGATAGGAAACCATCAAAATCCTAGAAGAGAAGACAAGCATCGACCTCTTTGACCTCAACCATAGCAGCTTCTTACTGCATATGGTAAAGGAGACAGAAGCAGACATGAGCTATGGGGACTTCATCAAGACAAAAGCTTCTGCACAGCAAAGGAAACAGCCAACAAAACCAGAAGGCAACCTACGGAATGGGAGAAGATATTTGCAGATGACATATCTGATAAAGGGTTAGTATCCAAACTCTATAAAGAACTTACCAAACTCAACATCCAAAAAACAAATCATTCAGTTAAGAAATGGGCAGAAGGGCAGCCCCAGTGGCGCAGCAGTTTAGCGCTGCCTGCAGCCCAGGGTGTGATCCTGGAGACCCTGGATTGAGTCCCCCGTCAGGCTCTCTGCATGGTGCCTGCTTCTGTCTCTGCCTCTCTCTCTCTCTCTCTCTGTGTGTGTGTGTCTCTATGAATAAATAAATAAAATCTTTAAAAAAAATTAAAAAGAAAAAGAAATGGGCAGAAGACATGAATAGGCACTTTTCCAAAGAAGACATCCAGATGGCCAAAAGACACATGAAAAATGCTCAACATCACTGGTCATCAGGGAAATACAAATCAAAGCCACAGTGAGATACCACCTCACACCTGTCAGATGGCTAAAATCAACAACTCAGAAAACAACAGATGTTGGTGAGGATGCAGAGAAAGGGGAACCCTCTTACGCTGTTGGTGGAAACGCACACTGGTGCAGCCACTCTGGAGAGCAGTCCGGAGGTTCCTCAAAAGTTAAAAATGAGAGGCTCAGTCAGTTGAGCATCCAAATCTTGATTTTGGCTCAGGTCGTGATCTCAGGGTCGTGAGATCAAGCCCTGCATTGGGCTCTGTGCTCTACGCAGAGTCTTGGGATTCTCTCTTTCCCTCTCCCTGGAGACCCCTCCCCCTGTGCGATCTCTCTCTCTCAAATAAATAAAATCTTTTTTTTAAACTTAAAAATAGAACTACCCTATGATCCAGCAATTCCACTACTAGCTGTTTACCCAAAGGATACAAAAATACAGACTTGAAAGGGCACGTGCACCCTGATGTTTATAGCAACATTATCAACAATAATCAAAGTATGGAGAAGGCCCAAATGTCCATCGACAGGTGGATAGATAAAGAAGATGTGGTGTGTGTGTGTGTGTGTGTGTGTGTGTGTGTATGTAATGGAATATTGCTCAGCCTCCAAAAGAATGAAATCTTGCCATTTGCAACAATGTGGATCTAGCGAGAGCGTGTTATGCGAAGTGAATAAGTTAAAGACAAATACCATATAATTACACTCATGTGGAATTTAAGAAACAAAACAGGTGAGCACACAGGAGGAGAAAAAGAGAAACAAACCATTAGAGACTCTTAAGATTAGAACACACACTGAGGGTTGATGGAGGGGAAGTGATGGGGGCTGGGCATTAAAGAGAGCACTTGTTGTGAAGAGCACTGGGTGTTTTATGTCAGTGATGAATCACTGAATTCTCCTCCTGAAACCAGTATTGCACTGTAAGTTAACTAACTAGAATTTAAGTGAAAATTTTAGAAGAAAGGGGCACCTGGGGGACCCTGTCGGTTAAGTGTCTGACTCTTGATTTTGGGCTCAGGTCCTGGTGATGTCAGGGTGGTGGGAATGAGCCTGTGTCTGGCTCTGCGCTCAGGGCAGAGTCCGCTTGGATTTCTCTCTTCTCCCTCTCTGCCCCTCTCGCTCTTGCTCTCTTTCTCTCTCTAAAATAAATCAGTAAATTCTCAAAAAAAATTTTTTTAAGAAAAATAAATAAATGGATAGTCAAAAGAGAGAGAGGAGGAATCAGCCTGTTGTTGCTGAGGGAAGGAGTCAGAGCCAAAGAATGTGGGCTGCTTCTAGAAACGGGAGGACGCAAGGAGCTATTTCTCCCCCCAGAGCTTCCAGAAGGAACACAGCCTGACCAACATCCTGAGTTTAGCCCCAGTGAGACCGGTTTCGAACTCCTGACCTCCAGAACTCTACTAGAGAAATCTCGTTGGTTTTAAGACACCAAACTGGTGCTACTTCATCCCAGCATCAATAGGAAACTGATACAGGAAGGAAAAGGAGGTCTCTGGGATTCTGATGGGTGCCCGGCGCTCACCAAGCCCTCGCCCCGGGGGCCCTGCACGGTGCTCCTGGCAGCAGGGCTCCAGTCCTGGGCTCTGCCCTGGGATATGCCAGGCCGCACAGCAGCCACAGCAAGCGAGGTGGGCCTGCCCTGGAGAGCAGCCCCCCTCTGGGCTGCTGCGGCCTGCCCACCGTTGGCCCTGGCTTTCGCCACGCCTGCTGTCAGTTGGCAGGAGTGTGGGGTAGCTGGTTGAAGAATGATCTGGAATGAAGGCCAGCCTGAGCTCCGAGCTGTGGAGACAGTGGGCATTCTGTAAGTAAACAAGTGGCCACAGACACTTGGTTACGCATCCTTCCGAGGAAGAGCTGGCCAACTGGCCAACTGGCCACCATTCTTCAAGATTGAATGCATTTACTGACAACATGTGGTTTGAGTTTCCTGCTCTGAATTCTGGGACATGCTCTGCATGTTTTTCAAATCTTTCTTTCCACTCCCTGGGCGTTTCTCATTAATCTTTCAATCTCAGAGAAAGGTTCATCATGATTGTGTTTCCTTGCGAGAGCAAAGGCTCCTGTGCTTGCACTGTGAGTCCTGTGAAGTATCTGCTGCGGGGGCTGGAGCTGTGCCTTCCAGGTCACCCCAGGAAGGGGACTCTGACTTTGGCCATGTTTCCCTGGGGTGGCTGTTACTTTGCTGTTTGTAGTCTTCAGATTTTACTGTGCCTAAGAATCAGCTGGGAAGCTTGTTGCAAATGTGGATTTCCAGGTCTGGGGGGTGTGGCCTGGGCATCTGCATTTCCAGTGCTGCCTTGGTGATTGTGATACGGGGTGGGGGTGGGGGGTCCTTGAGAAACACACAACTCTCATGGAACCCAAGGGACACGTGTCACCCTCCATGTGCCTTTGAGCTTTGCACACCTGGTTTGGGGCATGTGCATGTACCTGTGGAGGTTTATCAGACGCTCCCTTGGTATGAATGCATGTCTGGTACTAATGGAACTCTGGGGCTGATGCATGTCACGTGAGCACCGATCATCAGTGCTCACTTTTGGACCGTACTATTTTCTATCCCTTATTCCTGAAGGGGAAAGTGAGGCACAGACTCTCAAGTTAACCTGCCCACCAGTCATTAAGATAGGACAAGCATCCTGGTTGAGCCAGGCCCTGGCACCCAGGCCCTGTTCATAAGACCTGGAATCTGCAGGCAGAAAGGCAGCTCCAGGCCTCTCTTTTCTTCCACGGACTGTGTCAGTGGGGCCGTGTGTAGTCAAAGGTGGGGGTGAGGGGGACACACACGCCTAGCGATCCAGGTCATAACCGTTTCTGCACTCTTACGGAAACAGAGCTGTGGGCATACTTTGCTGACATGCACGTAAATAATTGTGATCAGATTTTCTCTTTTGACCCTCCCTTTGTCTCTCACCTCCTCCCCCTTCTCTCACTCTGCCCCTTTCAAGACTCCCTTTCCCAGCTCCCTGCTCCTCGAAACCCGAAGGTTCACCTGTACAACGCCGAGCGGGTTCTGAGCTGGGAGCCAGTGTCCCTGAGCAATGACTCGAGGCCCGTGGTCTACCAGGTGCAGTATAAATAGTAAGCCAGATCTTTCTGTTGTCGTCTTTACGGGAAGTGGTGGGGGGAGCCCTGGGGTCAGCTGCTCGAGCCTGCCTCCTGGCAGGACGGCCTGCAAAGCCACTGGAAGCAGGTATTCCCCCTTGTACCTGTAAACTCTCCACGGACAGAGATTTCACACCCTCCCACCCACACAGGGGCTTAGGCAGCACTGGTGCCAGAGCCTCTGCTGTCTACCCACATGGCTTCTTAGTGGGGTGGGAGACTGTTCTCTCATTGGTTTCGGGAGAGGCTCGTATAAGAGGGCTTCCTGTCTTGAAAGGCCAGGAGGCACCTTTTAGCCTTCATCTTCTTCAAGTTTGAAAATCTGGTTTATTGAACCTGACGGGCCAGCTGTGGCCTACTGAAGAACGTGTTCAGTAAATCACTACTAATTCTCGATTTCTAAGGGGATTTTTGCATTTTGCACATTATTCTGGCCCCTCCTTCTCTCTCTCACCCCTTTTTACAGTTGATCATCATTTGGTGTGCAACAGAAACATATGGGAAGAAGAAGAAAGGCAAACTCTTAAGTCCTCAGTTGTTACATGTTTACTAAGTTAAGTTACTAAGTTAAAAATGATTGGCTAAGTCGTTTTATTTTACCAGTTAAACAAAATTTAAAGAAATGGTAATGCTCAGTGCTTGGGAGCCCATGGTTGATGGAGATGGTGCTGGATGAGGATTAGTTAACACGGCCGCGCTACAGCAGAGTCATCTGCTGTACATCCAGAGTCACAGAAATGCCCACGTCACTTTTCCCCTACGCAGGTGATACAAGCCCCCATCAGAAAAAGAGAAAAAGGGGAGGGGGCACCTGGGTGACTCAGTTGGTTAAGCATCTGACTCTTGGTTTCGGCTCAGGTCAGGACTTCCCCGTTGTGAAATTGAGCCCCACGTTGGGCTCTGTGCTCAGTGTGGTGTCTGCCTCAGGTTCTCACTCCCTCTCACCCATGTGTTCTCTCTCTCTCTCTCAAATAAATAAAATCTTTAAAGAAAGCAAAGCAAAGCAAAGCAAAGCAAAGGAAACCCCTCGTATTCATGAAAATATACGTTGAAGCCTTCGTTGTCCATCAGCAGAAAAATGCCAAATCGTGTCATGTTAGCTAGTAGTTGAACATTAGGCAACTACTAAAAAGGATCATTGTGTGTCATCTGGTTGCAGTGGCAACCGTATAAAATTTGGACTGTATCTCTGGTCAACAACAGGGAAGGAATCTACAAAAATTACAGGCAGTTCATGTTAGAGGAGTGTGTTTCCAGACGACTCCTTTCTCATCTTGGAATGTCCACTGTAACAATATTTGCTTGATAAAAATACACTCTGAACCAGAGTTTTGGGGTTATCTCTGAATTTTGGTTCTCTGTTCCTCAAGTAAGTACCAGTAATCTACAGTACGTGGACCAGTTCACAAGGACCAGCTACATAATTTGTGGGGCCCAGTGCAAAATGAAAATTGTAGGGGGGTGGGGGTGGGACTTTGCTCAGAATTACTGAGAAATTCAAGATGGTGACAGCAGAGCATCAAACTGAGCACCTCTTCTGAGCAGGCCTTTGTGTCTCTGCATGGGCCACACACCCACGAAGAAGCTGGCCCTACTCAGCATAGAGTAAACATGATATTGTGGAACCAAATAAGGTTTCAGTAACAGGAAATCACAGCTGATACACTGACTGGCATTCCTTAGCCTTGAAGGGGGAAGTACATCTGTGGGTCTAGGGAGCACCAGGAAACAGTGGAAATATTCTAGTAGAACTATTCCTTACAGCCTTTGACAATTTCCCATCCCAGATTAGCATGTTTACTTCGTTTTCTTTTCTTTCTTTTTTTTTTTTTTTTTGGAAGGCATTTTGGAGATAGTTTTTTCAAGGCTAGAAGGTTGGTTTTGGTGAAAGAAACAAAAGATGGGGTGACTGTGAACGTACCTATTTGGAAGAGTTGAGGGGTAACGAGAAACTGAAACCAGGGCTGATCGTGTTTTCTTTTCCAATTGCTGATTTGATGATGCAGGAGGGCCTTTGCTCTTGTTTTTGTTTTTCAAGACTTTTACATGTCGGGGATGTTTCAGTGACATGAAATAATTTCATTTTGAGGCTCGTGGGACTTCAAACTTTTCCATCCCACTTCTCTACAGTAAAGCATTACTGAAATTATAAAGGAAGGTACCTGTCTTCTGGTAGTACAGGAGCCAAAGCCAAAATACTCTGAGCACTGTGGGAAAATTTAAAGTTTAAATCAGGGATTGCAGATAATGTAGCCTACAGGCTGTGTGTGACCCTTGGTGTTTAATTTTTCTTTTTTCCCAATTAGTGCCAACATTTAAAAAGTCTGGAGATTTCACTTTTAAAAACTTGACTTGACCAGCCTGGTCTTCTGAAAATGTATGTTTCTTTCTTTCTTTCTTTCTTTCTTTCTTTCTTTCTTTCTTTCTTTCTTTCTTTTTCTTTCTTTCTTTCTTTTTTTTTTTTTTTTACTGATTTTAACAGCAATGCATGTTCTTAACAGAAAGGTGAGACTACCCAGAATTTAAAATTTAAACAACCTAGTGCTCTACAGCCCAAGGATAATCTCTATTCTCCTTTTAGTGTTTCTCTCTCTAGACTTTTTACTAAATACATGCACTTGGTTTGACAATGTGCTGGTGCTTGTGTAAAACTGAAACAAAACTGGGGTTACACTTCTGGGTCCTCCTTCCTTTTTTTTTTTTTTTCAACCAAACATAGTTAAGTGTAGGAGCACTTTTTCTCATAATTATCTCTGCGTAAACATTTTTACTGCTCGTTTTATTGTATGATGTATCAGACATGATGTATTTAACTCTTTACCCACTTGCGGGTGTAGACAGTTCCCAGTTTGTGACTGTTGTCGGTAGTGGCCTCGTACATAAATCACCTGATTGTTTTCTTGCATTTGTAGCAGAGGAATTGCTGGGTCAGAAGGGACACTTAGTGCTTTTGGAAGCGCTCCAACAGAGGCTGAACAGCGAAGTCCATAATTGTGCAGGTGTTGAACAAATGATTCACATGGTGCTTACTTGGGCACCAGGTCCTGGCTCAGGCACTTCGCTCATGTCTGCTGGTTCAACCTTCATGATACCTCGGGGAGGCAAATACTACAGTTGATCCCCATTTTATAGATAAGGGGACTAAGGAACAGAGAAGCGAAGGAATTGGGATTTGAACCCAGTTATCTGGCTCCAGAATCCATTTGTTCAACCACTATGCTGTGTGCCCTCTCATGGTGAGGGCTGCTTTCCAAATGAGATAATTTCAAGGGCAGAGGCAGGTCGTGATGGACCCATCATGGAAGGGAGCCAGTGTGACTCCCTGGGTGAGACCCAGACTGCCCGCCTAGCAGTAAGAGCCCTGGACAGGAGGCCAGAGTCTGGCTGTGAGCAGGGCCACGCTCTTGAGGCCGTGTTCACTTAAGTGGAACCAACATAACCTTGTTTCTCCCCTTTGCAGAGAGGTGGAGAGGCAGCCTCCAGAACGCAGCTTCCTTTTCCACTCTTCCCCCTAAAACCGCGGTCATGTGTCAGCTGTCATTTAAATTTGATTGGCTTGTCCCCCTGTAGGCCCCTTTGGGGAGAAACATTTTTCAAAAGCAGTTCTGAGAAAGGGCCAAGTTTGGAGGAGAGAAGAGGATGGGGAACAGGAGTGGTCCCCACTGGTAAATGGGGAAGTGAGCCTTTGAAATGTGGGGAGCCTTCTGCCCAAGTTCAACAGCTGGGGTCTTCCGGGAAGCAGGTTAGAGTACCTATAAGTATCTGTAGAACTTAAAAAAAAAAAATACAACCCACTTACCCTTGCTGAAGCACACTGCCAATCTAAGATGGGGATGCCTGTGCTTGGGGATCTCTCTCCCCAGTAGGATCTGGGCACCCAGCACTTGGCGGTCATGTGAGTGTGGCAGGCATCTTCCATGGAAGCCCTGGGCATGCATCTTGAAGAGGCCTTCATCTTGCCACTTGCCACTTTGACAGAAGAGTCCCCAGTCGAGTCAGAGGTATACTTAGAAGCACGTGTGATGCGTGAGAGCCAGTGGCAGTGATCCCCAGCCTCATCTCTTCCGTGTACCCTGGTCTTGCTTTCTAGGCCAGAGAACACTGCCTACTGCCTCCCATTGAGGTTTCTAGCAGCCACCTCCCTGGTTTTCTCAAGTCTGTCACCTAAGGACAGAGGTCGGGGCTGGAGAGTAGAGTCCCATGTGGGGGTGTGGCATTGGGACTCTGGGGAATGCGTTGTCATTTACAAGAATATGCGGCCTTGGATTTAGCAGGTTTTTCACATGGGCGAAGCAAACTTTAAATGGACAGCTGTGGGGATACCGGGTTTCTTTGGGGGGATAAAAAAAAGCCCTAAAATTGACCATAGTGATGGTTGCATAACCCTGTGAATATACTGGAAGTCATTGAGTTGTGCACTTTGTTATTTTTGTATAAAATTTTTATTTATTTGAGAGAGAGAGCACAAGGGAGGGGAAGCAGAGAGAGAGGGAGAAGCACCCTCCCTGCTGAGCAGGGAGCCCAATGCGGGACTGGATCCCAGGACCCTGGGATCATAACGTGAGCCGAAGGCAGACACTCCACTGTCTCAGCCCCCCAGGCACCCTGAGCTGTCTGCTTTACCTGAGTGAGTTATTTGGTCTGCACACTGTATCTCAGTAAAGCTTCTTTTTTAAAAAAAAAAATCAGCTCTGGGGGAACTGTTGTGTGTGGAGAACAGAGAATTCTGTGAAGTGAAGGCCTTTCTTTCCCTTCCAGCGCCTCTGGCAGTCAGTGGTACGACTTCAGTGTGGACAGCATAGGTGTGAACTGTATGAACATCACCACGACGGAGTGTGACTTCACCCCAACCAGCCCTTCACAGGAGTTCCTACCACACTTAAACGTCTCCTTGCGTGTCCGAGCTAAGGTGGGAGACCTGGTTTCCACCTGGGTCAGAGTGCCATGGTTCCAGTACCTTAGGAATGGTAAGTAAGAGAATGTGGCCGTGAAACTTCCTTTATCCTTTCCAGGCTTTCTTCACTTTACTCCTCACTGAGCAGCATGGACCCCATGCCCCTCCGTCCTGTCCCTCACCCTACACAGCCAGCAAGCCGGTGGGGATGATGGTCCAACCCAAGTACAGACCGTGGAGGCTGGCACTAGAGGAGTGTGATTTGCTAGTCCAGAGGCTGGCAAGCCACAGCCTGCGGGCCACGTCCGGCCCGCCAACCTGTTGTTGTAAATAAAGTTTTATAAGAACACAGTTTCACCATCTTTTAATAACGTATGGTCTGTGGATGCTTTTCAAGCTACAGCAGTAGAGCCAGATGGTTGCAACAGGAATCGTCTGGCCTGCGAAGCCTAAATTTATTTGAGCACTTTACCGAAAATGTTTGCTGACCTCTGGGCTGGACGAGACACTAGTATATTGGCTTCACCGATCACCCTTATCTCTTCTGGCACAACTTCCTTTATGATCAAGAAAAGCTTTAATTCAGCCTTGAACAGTGCCTGGCACATAGTGGACATTCAGTAAAGACTTGCTTGAATGAGCACATGTGCTCCCAGAAATTGGAAGGGGGCGTAAGAATCGACAGATGCGAGCTTGTACGTTTGCTCCTTCCACGATTCATCTTTCACATGTGCCCCGTGTTTCTTCAGTGTTCCTGGTTTACGCAGACATCAAGTATGGGATCCCGATTCAAACAAGCGAAACAGAAGCATAAGACAGTTGAGGGAATGTGGTCACCGTCTAGCTGTTTGATAGTCTATTAGCAATTAGTGTTAGTTTATCTTAGGTATTGTATATTATTATAATCTTAGGTATTATAAGGGGGGGCTATCCTTTAGAGACACATGCTGGGGTATCTCCACATGAAATGATGTGATGTTTCGGATTCATTCAAAATAACCCAGAGAGAAGGAGGGCTGAAGGCAAAGGGGATGGGCATGGGAGGAATAGAATTGGCCATGACTTGACAGTTGATAAAAGTTGGGCAAAAAAAAAAAAAAAAAAAAAAGTTAGGCGATGAGTACATGCCTTGTTGTTAGGATCTTCCCTCTACTTTCTACGTGTTTGAAATTTTCTGCAATAGGAAGCTGAGAAGGACAATCAACGGTTTGTGCCAAATGATGCAGGGATGGAAAGAGAAGACAGGTCATTTACTACGGACAAGTCGTTTGTCCTTGAGTAGAGGACCAGCACACATCTGAGCTATGAAATGTCACCTCGGTGGAAATTAATTAAAGAAAAAAAGAAAAAAAAAAGAAAAAAAATGTAGTGGGGGTCCCTGGCCATAGTCCAGGAGAAGAGGAATAGAAATAGAAGGTAGGGCCTGTTGTGAAAGACCTTGGTCCGGTGCCAGCCATCAGTTGCTCTCCGTCGTCCCGGTCCGAGCTGGGCAGCAGTGCTCCCAGGTCGTCCCTGGCTGGGATGTCATCCTTTGCCCCTCACTTGTAAAGTCTCAGGCAGCGGTGTCCTCGGATCCCATCGCTGTGTTCACCACTTGTACACTCGGGCTGGATCACCAACGCGATGATGCTTTACCAAGCGTTTGGCAGGAGAGGAGGAGATGGCTGCAGGGGGCAGGCCGTGACGTCACGTAGACCTAGGTTCAAATCCCAGCTCTGCTGCTTCCTGACTCTGGGCAACCAGGGTCGCTCCAGGCTTCTGTTTCTCCCTGTGGGAAGTGAAGATGACCTTCTGTGGCTGGAATACAGATCTGGGTGGACACATGGACTATCCACGTCGCCTGGTTTACAGCAATAGCTTAGTACATGGAAGCTGCTACCAACTATTATCTACAGACAATCGAGTCTTTCTTCAATGTGTTGAGAGAAGGTCGATTGTTTCCCCCTCAAGAGACAGGCTTATCAGGTTGGTACCAGACTCCAGATCTGTGACTCTCAGAAGGGCAGGTATCCCAGCACTGGCCTTCTGGGAGATCAAGTGACTGGTCACAGCTGGCACCCTGGCTTCCAGGCCCACTACCATGTGTAAGTCACAGAAAAGTCTCGAGAACATGTCCTACCAAGGTGAGAGGCCTGTAGCAGGCAAGTCAGCGCCTTCTCAAGCTCCAGTCACTTGGCTGTGATAGGAAAGCTTGTAAACACGTGGGCCAGCATCTGTGAGTAGGCTTAACAAAACCTTTTCGTCACATGAGGCCAATCCACTCACATTGCTCTGGCTGGCAGTGGGCCAGGCTGGCCCGGTGTCTGTCTAGACATAGTTCCTCCACCAGAAGAAATGAGATCGGAGGGCACAGCTGCAAACCTTGCAGGGACCACTTCCTTTTGCACAGAGTAGGGTGGCCCAAGCAGATGCCTGAGCCTTGCCCACCCGGGAGAGCCCAGGCAAGAGCTCGGAAGCACAAGAGACATCCTCCCACTACTGTGAACATGGGACTGTTCACAGTGATCCATCTGATCGATCACCTGCACATGTCAACCGTGCAGAAATGAGCCTCTTAGAACTTGTAGGACCCGAATTTTACTTTGATCTGAGTTCCTCCAGTTAAGCACATGGTTTAAATGCTTGTTTGATGAATCCTGGAACCCTTCATCTGTAGGACTTCATGAGTCACAGTCTTGGCTGTCCTGTGAACTATATGAAAAGATTCAACAAATAGACTTCTGATGCCAATATTTCTCTGTCACTTTATTTATTTATTTATTTATTTATTTATTTATTTATTTATTTATTATTTTTAAAGATTTTTTAAAATTTATTCATGAGAGACACACACACAGAGAAAGAGAGATGCAGAGACACAGGCAGAGGATAAAGCAGGCCCCATGCAGGGAGCCTGACGCGGGACTCGATCCCAGGTCTCCAGGATCACACCCTGGGCTGAAGGCAGCGCTAAACTGCTGAGCCACCCGGGCTGCCCCTCTGTCACTATATTTAAACATAGCAGGACAATGAGCTAGGAGACATGGATCTAAAGGTTTGCAAACACCACTTTTTTCACTTATAAAGAAATGATAAGGGCTGTGCCTCGGTGTATCAGTCAGTTAAGCATCTGCCTTTAACTCAGGTGATGATCTCAGGGTCCTGGAATCAAGCCCTGCCTCAAGTTCTCTGTTCAGCAGGAAGCCTGCTTCTCCCGCTCCCTCTGCCTGCTGCTCCCTCTACTTGTGTGTGGGCTCTCTCTCTATCTCTCTCTCTCTTTCTCTCTGTCAAATAAATAAAATCTTAAAAAAAATTATAAGAATGTATATTAAAAATAAATATACACAGTAGATAGATTGTAGGTAAGGACTAACAAAATCCTCTCCTCCTCTGCCTAAAAGTTTGATCTTCGGCTGTCCTCCCAGCTATCTCTGGAAATCTGATCAAGGTGGCATGTTGGCCATGTCCCTAGGCAGTGTTATCACTTACGTCAAAATGACCCTTGATTGATAAACTGTATCTCCCTTGGGGCCATGTTAAATACCTTTTAGGGATCCGGGTCTTTGGGTTGAGCGCAGCAATTCTTATAACTGTGCATGTTCCTCACGGGGACTCTGGAAACTTCCTGCAGAGTTATCCTAAGAGATCTTGGCTCTTGGGGCTTTGAAGCCTGAGAGGCTCCAGTACTTGCCTGTCGTGGGTCTTGCTCTCTGCATGGAAGCTGTGTCCTAGGGTAGGGGGTTGTGGAGAGACTGGCTCTGGGCCACCACATGGACTGTTGCCAGAGCCATCCATCCACTGAAGGCAAGAAGCCCCTTGTGGTGCACCATGGCCCTCCTGGACCTCCTGCCCCTTGGCCGCCCACGTTAAGCTTGTACCCCAAGCAGTCTCTACTAGTCTTGAGCACCTGAATGTGATCTCATTGCATTTATAAATACATGTGTGTGTGCATGTGTGTACACACTATAAATATAAAATTATGTTGTAGTGGGACGCCTGGGTGGCTCAGTGGTTGAGCATCTACCTTCAGCTCAGGGTGTGATCCTGGGGTCGTGGGATTGAGTCCTGCATTGGGCTCTCTACAGGGAGCCTGCTTCTCCTTCTGCCTGTGTCTCTGCCTTTCTCTCTGTGTCTCTCATGAATAAATAAATAAAGTCAATAAAATAAAATAAAATAAAATGTCTGCTATACTTTACACTTCGATGAACAGAAAAAGTATATATAAAATATATGTATATATTCATATATATGTTTTTTGTTTGTGTTTGCTATTCTATTTCAGTGACCGTTGGGCCTCCTGAAAACGTTTGGGTGACTCCAGGAGAAGGCTCCCTTGTCATCAGGTTTTCCTCTCCCTTTGACATCTCTCCCTCCTCTGCCACTTTTTTGTATTACGTCCATTACTGGGAAAAGGGCGGAATCCAAAAGGCAAGAGCATTTTTTTCTACTTTGTTTTGCTTTTCTTTCCTTTTTGATTCAGCGAAAGAAAGTGTACTTGACACTGGATGAGAAGGACAGAGCATCCCAGTGTTGCCTTAGAGTCTGGGCCCTGAACCACTTTTCATCCTTCCCCCAGACACCCAAGTTTCTGCTCCCTGTGCGGAGCTTCCCCTTCCGCCAGGTGGATCTGAAGGCCCCTCCCTGCCTGACAGCACCCTAGCCCCACTGTTTGGGATGCTCACGGTGCCCCTGTGGCACTCTAAAGCGTGGAGAAGGTTCTAGAGGGCCTGTTTCTACAACAAGGAGTCCACCACTGCAGTCTGCAAGGTTTATAGAAATTGCTCTGGTTTGAATGGTTTGCAAGGAAACCATATATGAACAGGCAAAAAGTCCACTGGGAGGAGAGAGAGCCTCTTAGGGAGAAGGATGGAGGAAGATTCGGGATGTCTGGGGAACTACAAGTGCCGGGATCCGTCAGAAATGCAGGAGGGGCTGTAAGGCTCACAAAGATGTGTCAGACCAGCAGGGCCTGGTCCCTCCTACGTAGTATAAGGGAAGATGCTGGCCTTAAATTGTCTACGGTGCCTGATTGTCCAAGCTGCACCTCATGAGGTTTTATCATGTTTATCTCATCAGGTTTTATGTAAGCTTCAGGGTTTCCTAAATTCAACAGTATTATAATTTTTTTGTTTTATTTTTTGGCTTTCCGGTTTTATTGTGAGATAACTGACATTCATCACTAAGTATAAGGGGTACAGCATGATGGTTTGGACTTACGTATATTATAAAATGCTTATAGCTTTTTATAATAAGAGCTTATGTTTATCGAGAGCCTTCTTTGTATGGGGCCCTGGGCCAGGCATTTTAGCTACATCATCTCATTTAATCTTTGTACTGAGCAGAGTCACAGAGAAGGAAACCAAGTGTTTGAGTAACTTGCCCAAGGTCAGCAGCACAGTGGTGTGGAAACATCTGAGCCTAGAATCCATGCTCTGTACTTTTTCTCTTACATAGTTTACATTTGCACTTCCTCCTTGTTTCTTAATAGTCTAAAAACATTGAGGAAGGCAAAATTCACTGAAGAATAGACTCTTATCATATGGGGAAGAAGGAAATAATTACTTCTCTGAATCAAGAGATCAAGGTCTGGGCAACTAGAATAGAGAAGGGCCTGGTCTGGAAGATTCCAGAAGGGATTCTCCCCCCCCCCCCCAACCAGAGCAGCTATACTTTGGATTTCTATGAACAGAAGACTCTAGGGCTCACATGAGTTTGAGAGCCACCAAAATATCCCCATCCCATCTGTGAGTCTATGTCCCCAAGATCAACCCCTAGATTTGCTGGAAGGACCCATGGGACCTTCCCATGGTTGTGTTCATGGCTATGGTTTATTATAGAAGAAGGACACAAAGCAAAATCAGCAAGGGGAAGAGGCACATGGGCCAAACTCCAGAGGAATCCAGATACAAGCTTCGAAGAACTTTCTCCCAAAAGACTCAGACAGGACACACTTAATTCCTCCAACAACAAACCGTGAGGACATGTGAAATGTCCTCTGGGGAATCTTATCAGAGACCCTGTGCCCAGGGGCTTTATTGGAAATACAGGCCTCTTTTCCCTAGCACATATCAAAATTCCAGACTCCTAGAAGGAGAGCAGGTGTTCAGAATAAAAAACATTGTTTGTACCATAAGATGCCAATACTAGTTAGGGAATGGGGTAGGGGGTGCGGAGGGGGGACACTTCCGGATTCCAAGTTCCCAGATGCCAGCTATGGTTACCCTTGCAAGCAGGCCCTCCAAGGACAGTAGTCTCAGGTCTCTGCAATCTGTTATTCTAAATTCTAGAAATGCCAGGTGGTGGCTGAAATAAACCCCAAAGGAAGTTTGTACTTAAAATTGCTTTATGTGGTGGGGCACCTGGTTGGCGAAGTTGTTAGGCACCAGACTCTTTGTTTTGGCTCAGGTCATGATCTCCAGGTTGTGGGTTCAAGCCCGAGTTGGGCTCCTTGCTCAGCAGGGAGTCTGCTTGGGATTCTCTCCCTTTCCCTCTGTACCCCCCACACCCCACTCATACATACACACACTCTTTCTCTCTCAAATAAATAAATAAACCTTTTTTAAAAATGGCTTTACGTGGCATCACAAGCAAAAATTTTTCTCCTCTGCCCTGGTAGTCCATCACCATTAAACAGAAGAAAAAAAAATCATCTATGATCCTACTATTATTCCTAAGTAATATGCTTATTTTATATTTTTAAAAATAAGATGTTCTGCATACAGTGATTTTCAGGAACCACTATAGCAGCTTCATCTCCACGTTACTGAGCATATTTTATACCACCGTTTCAAATGGCTATAGCATTTTCTCCTGCATCTCAAAATAGGAAAGCAATCCCTTAGAAGAAATCCTATATTGCCATAATGTATTTTTTTCCCTGTTTCCCTGTGGAATGATGGCAACTTTGTCCAGGAGAGTAAGAAGTCGTTGACCAGAGGGATCCAGATGGGCGTGTTGATGAGGCCCACGAGGGAGCCAGTGGCATCAGGGACAGAACATGGGAAGGAGACAGGATCCTCAAGAATCTGAGATCCAGCTGTGTCCCCAGCTACATAACTCACCAAGATTGTGTTGACCAAAACTCTGTAAGAGAGGCCTCAGCACATTTCAGTTAAAACTGGAAGGAGACTGGGAACTAAAGGAACATTATTTCCCATGATGATTTTTTTTTTCTCTTTTCATTGACTACCTACCTTGAAGTATCTAGAATACATTGACCATGAAGTACAAAATAGTGATTTTGAAGTAAATGCACTGGGCATTAAAGCAATTTTGTTTATTTTCAAAATTTTTTTTTTACTTATTTATGTATTTTATTTATTTATGTGTTAGAGAGAGAGAGTGCACAGGTGGAGAAGGAGAGGGACGAGCAGACTCCTAGCTGAGCGTGGAGCCCAACGTGAGGCTCGATCTCACAACCCTGAGATCATGACCTGAGCTGAAATCCAGAGTTGGAGGCTTAACTGACTGAGCCACCCAGGCGCCCCACTTAAGCAATTTTAAAGGAGAAAATTTCATCCTAGACTTTGGAATTGGCTAAATCCCAGTGGCAGGCCCTCCACTGCCACAGCGGGTGGGCCCTCCGAGGCCCCAGAAACACATCTCTGAAGCCATCAGTGTCTTTCTCCACACGGCTCACCGGATTTCACGTATAAACTGTGTCCACTGCAAGCCAGTGACTCTCTCAAGATAGAAACTCTTTATTCTTTGGTTTTGATGTTCCCTGCGGATTTGAGGAAATATTGGAAGAGGTAGAAGGGGCTCGACCGTGTGTGTTCAGGTAATTTTCATATGTGCTTGTTGGTGTTTTTTATATAGGTTAAAGGCCCTTTCAGGAGCAACTCCATTGTGTTGAATGACCTGAAGCCCTTAAGAGAATACTGTTTACAAGTCAAGGCGCAACTGGTTTGGACAGTTTCAAAGCTCTCTAGACTCGGACATTTAAGCAACGTATCTTGCTACGAAACAGCAGCAGATGGTAATGTAGGACACGTCATGGCCTTTCTGAGCTGGGACAAGAATCCTCCCCAAGTGGTGAAATCAGGGATGGCTTATTAGGTGGAGGGACGTAGGAGTGGGGAGACCCAGAGAGAAGGGCAAGAAGCAAGGACGATCTCCTTGCTGAGAAGGAAGGAGAAGCTGAGATCGACAGTAATAACAGCCCCAGACAGCTAACGGTGCTTGCTTGATTTTAGGATTGCCTCTACTAGCTACTCATTCAGGCATGTGAGGCTGGGTGGAGGAGGGACAGTATGTGTCCATTTCATGAGGACAGTGAAGCCTCTAAGCAGTTGGTAGATCAAGAATGACCCGATATCTATTTCCCGTGTGGGATGAGCCTCTTTTTCACTTTTGTGTCCTCTTCTTAGCTACTACCAAGCTTCAGCAAATCATCATAATTGCCGTGGGAATCTTTCTGTTGCTGTTGGCACTGGCAGGGGCCTGTTTCTTCCTGGTCCTGAAATACAAAGGCCTGATAAAATACTGGTTTCATTCTCCACCAACCATCCCATTACAAATAGAAGAGGTACGTATGCACATGTCTAGTGGGTGACATCTTAGCACTCCACGGCCCCCTGGTAATGCCTAAGGGTATGGCAGGGGACAAAGCCATGGGCATAGAGAGTTGAGTTAAAAAGTGCTATAGGGCAGGGGTGCCTGGGTGGCTCAGTTGGTTGAACATCCCGCTCTTGATCTTGGCTCGGGTCTTGAGCTCATGGTTTTGAGTTCAAGCCCCATGTTGGGCTCTGCGCTGGGCATGAAGCCTATTTTTAGAAGGGTTATTTGTACACCCGGGTTCATAGCAGCATTATTCACAACAGCCAAATGGTGGAAGCGACCTAAGTTTCCATCACTGGATGAATGGATAAGCAAAATATTGTCTATCCATACAGTGGAATGTTATTCAGCCATAAAAAGGAAGGAGTTTCTGACCCAACGTGAATGGACCTTGAGGATATTATGGTAGATATTAAGCCAGTCACAAAAAAGAGAAATACTGTGTGACTCCACTTCTATAAGATACTTGGAGGAGTCAAATTCATAGAGGCCATTCAAAGTAGAGTGGCGGGTACCAGGGTCTGGGCAGGGAGGAAGAAGTGGGGAGTTAGTCTTTCATGGGGATAGTATTTTAGTTTTGTAAAATAAAAACAGTTCCGGAGATGGTGGTGAGGGTTGTACAGCCGTGTGAACGTATTTTATGCTACTGAGTTGTACACTTAAAAGCGGTTAAGACGTAACTTCTATGTTATGTGTATTTTCCCGCAACTTAAAACACTTTTTTTAATGCCATGAAGTTGGTGAAAAAAGGTAGCCAGTGCCTGGCCTGGCCAAGAAATTGGCACATGAGCCCCATGTCTTTGGGAGAAAGCCCCCAGGGAGCCTGGCAGAGGATAGGAGGGTGGCAAAGACAGGGGTCTAGAGCCTGGGCTGTGGGTCAGATGTGTGCACTTAGAAGGATTCTAGGACAAACGCACCCAGGGCTGTGAGTACAGAGCCTTGCACACCGAGAGCTCCCTGGATGTTACTGGTATTTTGAAAGACATGAGGAAGGAGGGTGGACGGGGTCTCTGGGAGAGTGGATTTCCTGCACAGCCCCACCCGCCCCGAGGCTCTGAGGTGGCCTGGCCCTCCGAGGACACCACGGGGGACACGCTTAGGGTCAGAAGTGAGCCAACAGAAGATCATTTAAAAGGATTTGCTTCTGGAAGTTTATTGGCAGCAAAATCGGGGCAAAGGTACTGGAAACAGAATCTCACTCCGTTATACCTCGATGGAGTAGGAGTTAGATAAAGTCCAAGTCTGCGGAGAAAGAGCAGTGCTTCCAGAAAGAGCTGTATGTTGTGCCCAAGATCGCAAATCCGAGAAACCGCCAAGGAGCCGACACCGATGCAAACACACGAGGGTTTATTTACAAGCTCGAGCCTGGGTCCAAGTATACCCGACGCAGCGGAGCAGGGACTTGAACCCCGAGACTAAGAGGCTTAGCAACTTTATAGGGGCCAGTGGCCAGTGGGATACACAGAGAGTTGCACAGTCATGCTGGTCAGCTGAGCTAGATTTCCGATTAGGGTGTGTCCTGGTCTCTGACTAGGGCGAGGTAGTGCCCTAAGTAATAAGCAGGTCAGCACAAGGCGGGTGCAGCCCAAAATAGAGTCAGTCCTGCTCTGCTTGTCCAGGGGTAGGGGATTTTGTTTAATTTCCTGGGTCCCACACTGTAGTTCCTCATCTTTCTTCCCCTGTCAGGGGGTATTTAAAGTACACAGACATAATACAAATTACATGTTCAGGGGCCCCTGGGTGGCTTAGTGCTTGAGCATCTGCCTTCAGCTCAGGTCATGATCCAGGGGCCCTGGGATCGAGTCCCGCATCAGGGAACTGGCTCGTGTCGGGCTCCCTGCGTGGAGCCTGCTTCTCCCTCTGCCTGTGTCTCTGCCTCTCTGTGTCTCTCATGAATAAATAAATGGAATCTTGGGGAAAAAAAAAAAAAGAAGAAGCAGGGGTGGAATGTGGTTGCCAGGGGCCAGGGGAGAGGGGCTCGAGGGGATGCTGTTCATTGGGTCTGAAGTTCCAGTTATGCACGATGAGTAAGTCCTGGAGATCTGCTGTACCTCATCGTGCCTATAGTTGGTACCGCATTGTGCACTTAAAAATTTATTAAGAGGGCAGCCCAGGTGGCTCAGCAGTTTAAGCATTGCCTTTAGCCCAGGGCATGATCCCGGGGTCATGGGATCGAGTCCCACATCAGGCTCCTTGCATGGATCCTGCTTCTCCCTCTGCCTGTGTCTCTGCCTCTGTCTCTCATGAATAAATAAACAAAATCTTTTAAAATTTTTATTAAGAGGGTAGAACTCATATTAAGTGAGTTCTCTCTTTCTCTCTCTCTCACACACACACACACACACACACACACACACACACACACACACAACCCCCAACCTTCCCTGGTTAATATTTTCACAAAATAACAGCCTTCAGTGGGACTCAGAATCTTCCTTGCATTTGTCTCTCCCTCACAGTAGAACAACCAGCAGGTCCCTAGGAAGTGAATTTACTACTAGTTTTTCCTGTGGGGTGTGGCTCTGAAACAGAGTTTCAGTTCACTTTCCTGGGAAAGTGTGAAAAATATGTATCAAAGGGCACTGAAGTTACATGAGAAGAGTGAATCAGGTTTCACTCATATTTTTGAGGTTTCAGAAGTGCACATGATTGGTTTATGTTCTCGTCATGAGTAAGCTCTCAGCTCACTGTGTGTTGCAGTGTCTCTTGGCACGTCCAAGAGCAAGGCATGGGTTTCTGGGTCACTCAGCAGTGAAATGATGGCTCAGCCTAGAGCAGGGGTGGGAGGGGAAGGGCAGATAGAGACCTCACGAGGCCCCTCTCCGTCTCTCCCCGACCCAGCGCCCCGCTTCTCTGTTCTCTGCTCCATGTGTGTTGTGTGAAACAGAAGCAACCAGAGTGGAGGGGCTGAGGAAAACCTGGCGAACTTTCCCTCTCTTCCCCCTTAATGAGTGAACCAGAGGCCCCTCATCCTCTGAATTCCAGAGACGTTTTGGGAAGAGCCACCCCCAAGCCTGCAGCAAGTGCAGCAAGTCAGGCCTCGCTTCTCCCGAGCTCTGGTGTGATCTTGGTTGGCCCTTGGATTCGTGTTCAGGTTACTACTGATGTGAAGGGTGTTCTTGTTTGTTTGATTGATTGATTTTTAAGATTTTATTTATTTATCATGAGAGACCCAGAGAGAGGCAGAGACATAGGCAGGGGGAGAAGCAGGCTCCCTGCAGGAGCCTGATGTGGGACTCCATCCCAGGACCCCGGGATCATGACCTGAGTCAAAGGCAGATGTTCAAGCACTGAGTCACCCAGGTGCCCCCTGAGGTGCTCTTGTTTTAGAAGTTGTGGCAGCGGTGGTCAGCATAGGATCGCACACCTGGGGAAGATAGGCCTGTGCTGCAGCTAAGAGTCAAGTGGAAGGTCTGCTCTTTTGAACTGATAAAACTAATAACAATGTTGGTTTTTAACCTTTTCTAGTATTTAAAGGACCCAAGCCAGCCTATCTTAGAGGCCCTGGACAAGGACAGCTCGCCAAAGGATGACACCTGGGACTCTGTGTCCATAGTTTCGTTTCCAGAGAAGGAGCGAGAAGATGTTCTCCAAAGCACTTTGAACTAAAACTCTGGTCCAGCCAGCCAGCCTGTGGGATGAGAGCTCTGAGCCATTGAAGCTGCTGACGTTCCTGTCAGTACTTTACGGAGCCCTGCATTCCATAGTCCTGCCCCCAGAAGCCCGATGGTGCCTTGGAAGATGTAACGGGTCTCATGGGGGAGGCACACTTATTTTTTTTTCCTTTAAACTAAGGGTTTTCTAATCATACAAGTTTCCAGAATTATTATACAGAGATATCCCAGAAAAGTTAAGATTTCTCTTAAACACTAAAAAGCCATGCAATTATTTGTCAGCAAAACAGCTCTGACACACCTGATGTTTTGCTCATTGGCAGCCGGGACACAGGGTCCTCTCCTTGACTGGACCCCTCAAGCAGATCACATAACCTGTCTGTCCCAGCCTGTCCCAACAAGGGACAATGAGTGGCCCTTCTTCATATCCAGTCTCTCAGCTTAAAATGTGATTAGTCCTGTAAATATTATCCTGCGATTTAAGCCTTTTTTTTTTTTCAGGCTAGGGAATAAAAGATTGTGTAATTAACTTTTTACAAGTCGATGTGAATGTTCTGCTGCTTTCCCCTTTATTTTGGCTTCTTTATTTTCTGCAAAGTTCCAACTCCTAAAAATCACTATATCTGCATTTCCGTTTTCTTAAGTGATACCCGGTGGAGCTACCAAGACCTCATGATCACTCAGAGGGAACAGTCTGCGTGCATCCCTCGGTTCCTTAGGCAGGTACAAAGGGCACTTTCTTTTTATTATTATTATTATTATTATTATTATTAATTATTCATTCAAGAGACACAGAGAGAGAGAGAGAGAGAGAGAGAGAGAGAGGCAGAGACACAGGCAGAGGGAAAAGTAGGCTCCATGCGGGGAGCCCCATGTGGGACTTGATCCCGGGTCTCCAGGATCACACCCTGCGCTGAAGGCGGTGCTAAACTGCTGGCCACCCGGGCTGCCCTAAAGGGCACTTTCAGAAGCTGTGTGAGCACTTCACTTTTTAGGAGTTGTGTGTTGACCAAGGCAGCGGCTTGTAGGCAGTAAAGAGAATTCGCTGATGGACCCACGGGGCATGCACTCTTCTGATGAGGGAAGTATTGACAGGTTCTTTGGTTCAAAGGCTTTGGATTGAAAATCCCATTTCTGTGACCCTTGACATTTGGGAAATGGATGTGTAGCTACATGTCCCCTCCCCCAACACACACACACACACACACACACAAGTGATAGACTTGCTGTAAGGTCTGCTTTAGCCCCTACTGGTGGCCAAAACACACTAGGAAGAAGAGACACGGTATGATTATGAAGCTTCTGGCACTGGTCAATGGGACCAAGTTCTCTCTCATCTGGCGCTTGTGCCACTGGTGAGGAATTGGCTCTTGGGCTGACTTTCTAACCAAGCACTGTGTACTTTGCCGACAAGACATAAAAGGACCCCTCCTCCCCTGCCCCCAGGCCCCGCTCCATGCAAGTGCTCTTGGGAGAGATCCACTTTATTAGGTGCATCTGAGTCGAGCCTGGTGTGGAAGAAGAGCTAGTAGGTGGAGACTCTGAACACCTGGCTCAGATCAGGTAGGGGATGTGAGATAGAAGGGCTTCCTTTTTGGGGCTATGGGGTGAAGCACAGTGAGGGTGGGAGGACATGCATGTAGCAGAAAGCAGGCTAAGAGTCTGAGCCCAACAGAAAGGGGACAGATAGCTCTGTAAGAGAGGAAGTGCCTATGTGCCACCGTGTGGGGAAGGGAGTTAGTTCCAGCTAGTCAGGGGCCAGCAGGCTGGCTCTGGGGACCAGATGCCCAGAAGGCTGAACTGGCTTCAGGGCCTGGAGCAGGAGGTCGCTGTGGTGCAGGCCCAGTAAGGCCCTTCTTGTTGAAGGCAGTGGCTTAAATCTGTGACACTCAGAGCCCAAGCCCAGAGCCAGCCCTGTTCCCAGGGGCCTCTCTGGGGCCAGGCTCTCCAACGTTACTGTGTTGTAGGGGAGACGATGCCAATAACACCAAACATGCCACTTCTCCATGGCCCCACTTCACCATCCTAACTCAATAAACATCCTGAGGAGGCGTGGGGCTGGCCTCTTATCCACAGGAGGATAAGAACTAGTTGACTAAGAGTCTCCTTTCTGTAGCTCTTCCCCCAAAACACCTGATTCTACTTTGTAAAATAAATAGCTCATCGATTAGAATTCATACTTGTACTAACTTGGGACTTTAATTTCTGGTCAGGCTACGTACAGAACCATAAAATGAGTCAGAAGCCACCTTATACATCATTTACAACAGGGCAAGCTGTAGGCCATGCAGCAAATCCAGCCCGCTCCCTGTATTTGTAGCTAAGGATAGTTTCTACATCTTTAAATGGTTGGGGGTGGGGGGAAATCAAAAGAATAGTATTTCATCACGCATGAAAAGCATATGAAATTTAAATTTCAGCGTCTGTAAATCAACGTTTATTGGAAGGCAGTGACGCTCATTCATGTGCGTACCATCGCTGGGTGCATTTGCACTGCTGGGGAGAACTGAGAAGGCCTACAGGGCCAAGATATTTACTACTTGGCCCTTTCCCAAGGAAGTTTGATGCCCCTTGACCTACACAATGAAGTGTTCACTGTACAGGAGAAAACAGACCCATTCCCATTATTTAAGTGAATACAAAGTCCCTGCAAGAAGCCATTTGAAAAAAAAAAAAAAAAGCCATTTAATGCTGAGATGATCTCATTCAAGGGTCATATATTATGTGGGAGAAGAGGTATTCTTGCATAAATTCTTTTTCTTGTTTTTAGTTATTTATTTTTGTTTTGTATATATTTCTTTATTGGAGTTCGATTTGCCGACATATAGCATAACACCCTTGCATAAATTGCACAAAGCGCATCATGCACTGTGTCCCCGGGCAGGGGGAGGGAGGCAGGAGTAGGGGTATGCAGAGCAGTGGAGGGAAGAGGGGCCTCTACCAAAAACAGGGCGCCCGGAGATGATGGATTAGTTGGAACAAGGCCACCTCTGGCCTATAAGGCACCTTTGTGTGAATCAGACATCCGATGTTCAAGACATTGTGCTTTCAAGCACCACGAATTTTCTAAGTAAGGCCAAGTAGCTCATCCCCTGTTCCTGCGCTGTGGCTAGCGCCCCCTGGGGGTCCCGCGGTGCTCGGCTGTGCAGGGACAGCCGCTGGTGGGCCCCCAGTACCTGGGATGGTGGTGATGCCCTGGGTGAGGAGCTACTGGGCTTGGGGGGTGGGGAAGGCAGGCCCCTGGGCAGGAGTGCGAGGCCGGGTGGTGCAGAGGAAGAAGACTCTGTACGTGTAGGACACAGGCTAATGCACCGGAGAAATGACCATGTCACCCAGCAATCCCCAGTGTGGAGAACAGCCCAGTCCCTAGCTGGTGCTTGGCCGTCGCCTTTATGACTCTTATTTCACTTAAAATCACTGATATCTGCCCTTAGCAGGTTTTTGTTGTTGTTGTTGTTGTTGTTATTTTTAAGAAAGATTTATTATTATTTTTTAAAAGATTTTATTTATTCATTCATGAGAGACAGAGAGAGGCAGAGACACAGGCAGAGGGAGAAGCAGTCCCATTGCGGGGAGCCCAATGTGGGACTCAATCCCAGGACCCCGGGATCACACCCCAGGATGCAGGCGGCGCCAAACCGCTGCACCACAGGGCTGCCCTAACTTGCCATTTTTAAATCAACGCTCAACTGGTGACCCACCCAGGTGTCCCTAAAGATTTATTTATTATTTATTTATTTGACGGGGTGGAGAGGAGCACAAGTGAGGAGCAGAGACGGAGAGGGAGAAGCAGAACCCCGTGCTGAGCAGGGAGCCTGATGCAGGGCTGGATCCCAGGGTCATGACCTGAGCTGAAGGCAGATGCTTACCTGACTGAGCCACCCAGGTGCCCCGTCCTTAATGTTTTAACACATCTGCAGAGCCCCTCGTTTTGCCCCCTTCAGCTACTGGAAAACAACTCACTATCTCTATGAGGAACCCCAAGGTTCCCCCCAAAATCAGTTTGCTCTACGCCAAAAAGCCTCTTTTTTAGATGACAACATCCCAAACTGTCCTTGCCATCTGGTGGAAGTGAGAAGCCAGCCAGGCATTGCCCCAGGATGCAGAGACCCGTGTTCTCCTGTGCAGCTCACAGACCCGCTGGGGCCCCTGGGTGGCTCAGTGGTTGAGCATCTGCCTTCGGCTCAGGGTGTGATCCTGGGGTCCTGGGATCGAGTCCCACATCGGGCTCCCCGCAATGGGACTGCTTCTCCCTCTGCCTGTGTCTCTGCCTCTCTCTGTGTGTCTCTCATGAAGAAATAAATCTTAAAAAAAAAAAAGAAAAAGAAAAAGAAAAAGCAAGGGTTCCCTGATGGGAGCACAGTAGAAGGGATTCCTTCCTCCTCGTTTCTGGCCAAGGCGAGGGGAGAAGGCTGCCTCCACGGGGAGGGCTGGCCAGCTGGTCAGAGTGGGTGCTAGTGCCCTGGGGCCCCACAGCCGATCGTTGCTGCTGGGGAGGGCTCTGGGCAGTGCCAGCTCTTGGGCAGCCCCCCGGGAAGACAGGGAGCTGCCCTGCCTAGGATTCCATCCCGGGGTAGAAACACCTGAATGAATGAAACAAGGCTCATTCATATTCATTATGAATTATTATTCATACCACTACTCAGTTACAAGGAAAAATAGTTAATATCTTTTGCAAGTGAGTTTATGCTTTAACTAGGGGTATGTGTATAAATAAGCCTTGGGGGTCCCCCCGTCCCCTTTTCCTACTAATTGGGGGACCCAGAGAAGCCACCACTGCCCATGTCTAGCTGCTCTCTCTACTGTAGCTATTTGCAAATCTAAAGTAGCTATTTGCTCATCTAAACATGATTTCTCTCTACTGTTTTCTTTTTTTTCCCCAGACATTTTCTATGAGAATGTTCCTTTTTTTATAATGAAATAATATCACAAGTTTTGTACAAGATGAAAGTGCTGTGCTCTGGCCGGAGAGAAACAGGGATGTGAGGGCCCCAAAACCGGCTGATTTCAGGATACAGCTAAACCCCCTACCTCCCTCATGACCCCCATGTCCCCTGCATCTGGGTTTATCTACAACCAGATGAAAAGCATTTATATATGTAAGGGAAAGATTATAATTTGCTGCACACAAATGTATATCCCACCTGCCCTGTCACAGGGCCACTTACTCTCGTTCAATTCCACAAAATGCTGTTAGTTAAAAAAAAAATAATATATATATATACATATATAAACTCATATATGTATATATATATATATATATATGAGTTTGCTCTATTTGATTTATCAAGTTAATCAGTCACTGTCCCCACAGGTTATCTAAGTTAATTACAAAGGACTAAAACATAACAAACATGACTTTTGTGGTATTCCTGCCAAAAATGCACAACCTGTAATCGTAAGGGACCATCAAACAAATGTAAATTGAGGGACATTCTACAAACCAAGCATCTGCATTCTTCAAAAATGCTTTTAAAAAAATGCTTGGTCATGGGGGCACCTGGGTGGCTCAGCGGTTGAGCATCTGCC